ATGGAAGATCCAACAATACCTATACCACATAACACTTTACCGGCCTCACCAGGAAGAAGGTGCTCCTCAGGTCATACTTTAACAGGCGCAAACCGAAAGAGAACGAAGAACCTATCACAATGCACCATGCTTTGTCGGCTAAGATACGGCGGGAAATGGACCCGCTTTTTACACTTTACCGGGCGCAAACCAGAAAGGACAAGGAAACCTCTGTCAAGGGGCCATGCTTTTCCGGCTACAACACAGTAGGAAACGGACTGCAAACAATATCACATTAAAAGCATACGAGCTAATAAACAGAATACTACACGGGTGTAATACATAGGCCTAGTTCAATTATCACCATGAAACCAAACTTGCTTTCCAGTTTATTTCTCAACAACATCCGGTGAGTCTCAGCCATCACCCAATCACAACCATCACACCCATGATGATTTCACAATTCAATACAAACATTTATATCACAATAATGAATATAAATAAATACAATGCCAAGAGATGTAATATAACACAAATAACTTCCCAAATCCCAGAAGTTCCAAACCAACACCACACCAGTATTATAAATCAACATAATTCAATGGTGCAAAAGTGCTTGCAAAATTTACACATTAGCATGTTACCCCAACTCAAAAGGTTCTACACACCCATACCATCCAAAAAACACCCATAAGTGACGCTCCACTCCCCCAAGTACAACCAGAAATACCCCTCAACTCTACAACCATTAGCACAAAACTGAAAATGATTTTCGAGGTGACTATGTGTCAACCAACTTCAAATACAACCAAACCACCAATCCTCTATTCTCACGACTCAAAGTCCAAAACAACATCAAAACTCCTTTACATGTCCAACCTCACTACTGTCCTCGCTTAGATTATTGAAACTGGCTCTGCTCCCACAGAGGGCAATGACGCCAAACATGGCCTGTCCAACCACATCTAGAACACTAAGGTGGTCCCCTATTCCAAGATTGACTTGAGGACGCCTGAGTCCGACTAGACCCTCCACAGGACGAGTCTGAATAAACAAAAGTAGTTTGTGGCATCAACTGCGCCTGTGCTTGAGATCTTGCCCACCTCTAATTCTTACTAGGTCTACTACCTCTCCGAACAGTCAAACTTGCCGGTATGGACCCTTCCTCCTCATCCTGACCAACACTGTCGATAATGGTTTCCACATGAGTCGCTGCCTCTACCAAGGCATGATAATCTCTATGCATTGCCTCGACAACTTTTCTCCGAATAACATCACACAACTTTCTCTCGAGCTCAAGACAACGTTGCTCCTCTGTTGCAACCAACTCTGGAGCAAATCTTGACAAACTAGAGAATCTCACCTTAAACTGTCCCAAAGGAGTATCCTCCTGGCGCAACTCAACAAACCGGTTCCTCAATCTTTCCCGAGCAGAAGGAGGAAAATACTTAGCCAAAAAGGCCTCAGTGAAAGCAACCCAAGTAATGCCCACAAAAACTCGCGGACTTCCACTAATAACTTATGTCTCCCTTCAGTTAGAAACCAGCCACCACAACCCTCAACTCCTAATCTTCGACTCTGAGCACATCAAGAGTCTTAGTAATCTGTTCTAACCAATTAGCAGCCTCCAACGACTTAGGCTCCCATAAGAACAAGGTGGATTAGAGCAAAGAAACTCCTTAGTCAACCTAAGGTTATGCCCATGGTCCTCCTCATTGTGAGCTAGAGCATCTCTTACCGCTCTCATAATCTTGCGTGCAACTTTCTCACCCACATTCGACGTTGCAGGGGTAGGTAGTAACGGAACAGCTGTGCCTCTACCGACACTCCTACTTTCCCCATGACCTCTGCTCCCTTAAGAAGACATCCTATAAAGCCAAAACCACAACAAACTTAGTAGACAACACGGCAGCCTTGCCCGAAGCACACACTGACCCCTGCTAAGTTACAAGACACACTTAGCCCCAAAACACATAATTCTATCACATAGGGACAATTAAACACTTAATCACATAATCGGATCAAATCCACGAGATAACCACTCACCTCGGAACTCTTAAGAAATTCCTATCAGAAACTACGTTGGTTAGCCGTGTTTCTGATAGAACCTCAAAGTAAGTTCACCGGTGACAAGCATTATTTACGAAACTTGACCCTGTACTCACATAAATGCAACATATAAGGTCGTAACACATGAATTATCTATATCTAACATCCTCACCAAGCATAGCAAACCCACTATGGTAAAACCACTTCCCACGAGCCCAAGGTAGTTGACCCGACTCGCTCTGATACCAAGTTGTCACATCCCAACTTTTATTAACCGAATCCATTACCAAATCCATTATAATAATTCCATTTATTTGAGAACATGCACAAGAATAAATAACAACATTCTCTCACGAAAACAATGATGATATAAATAAGACATAGTATAATGCCCTTAGGATTACATTGAATGATAATAAATAAAATAGAAGGGATTTACCCTTATACAATACATGGCCCACGACCAACAAGTAAAGGGCCCCGTGGCCAACAATTAAAATACTTCAAGTCATACATGATTCCTCCAACCTTGTACCTCAAAAAGTTTATCAACAAGTGGGATGAGCACTAAGCCCAGTAGAGATCCTAAAGATCCTAACCAATCACAACATATAGATAAAAATGATGATAAATGCATCAAGACATACCATATAAGTAGTGTGACATTTAATATCCAAAATATACACATATAACTGTGTTTTTCTCAAAACGTTCCTCTTGACACATTTCCGTATGAAATCAATTCTTCTCTTTTACATTCCCATCATTACTTTTGAAAGAAAATATTTTAAAACCTCATTATTTCTTTGATAAAACTTCCCAAATTAATAGAAAAGAATCTCATTTAAACAACCGTTCTGAAAATATAACCCCACATGCAAATCATAATCCCCATTCTACCTCTTAATACTCCATAACCATTTACATCCCAACATATATATCTACAACCTTCCCTGACCATAGGCCCAAGGACTTAAAAAAAGACCAATATGAAACTGTTAACACACACACACACACACAAAGATATATATATATATATATATATTCAAACAAGATAACCGAAGTAATACATACCACCAATCTCGTCTCCCTAATACGAAAACCAACGACACGTATATATATCAAAAACGGGATAACTGAAGTAATACATACAATCAATCACATTTCCACTGGCCTACAGCACAGATGCAGATCCAACAATACCAATACCACATAACACTTTACCGGCCTCACTCGGAAGGAGCTGCTCCTCAGGTCATACTTTGACGAGCACAAACCGGAAGGGAACGAAGAACCTATCACAATGCGCCATGCCTTGCTGGCTAAAATACGGCGGGAAACGAACCCCCTTTTCACACTTTACCAGACACAAACTAAAAGGGACAAGGAAACCTCTGTCAAGGCGCCACGCTTTGGCGGCTACAATACGGCGCGAAACGGACCCCAAACAATATCACATTAAAAGCATACAAGCTAATCAATAGAATACTACACGGGTGTAATACATACACCTAGTTCAATTATCACCATAATAGCCACAATCCATTAATTACATTAACTCATTTCCTTTAAAATATATACCGCAAACCACTATTCCGCACGGGTTTTCCTTTATTTCAAACAACCCAAAACACATCATGGAGTACTAAACCTTAAAACCATAACTATTCAACAAAAGTCTCACAATAGAAACAACATTTATAAATGTTCCAATTACCTCTTTAACAACATAATCCATAACTCAACACTGGAATTGTCTCTTTACAAAGTTCACTTACAACCAACATTATATCATCTCATATCACATTATCCATCCTACAACAGTACACATGGCATATATCTAACAACAATCAATTCCATCCTCTACCGATGGCCAAGGACAAAACTCTAGACACCGATTACATAATCCGAAATCATAAATACACCTTAAGTAATTTCACACTTTTGTTTATTGCCAACTCTCAAGTCCTCTTCTAGTTTTCATGACCAATATTTCAAATTAGTTGCAGAACACAATATTTCTGTGACTAAATCACATTAGTCGTGGAAAATAAAAACATTTGGCTACTATTTTTTTTTTGGGTGGGCAAATATGTGTTTTTACATACCACTGGTGTCATTTATTTGTCCCAGCATGTGTCCAACAAGCAAAATGACGTCGTTTCGCTAACTACGAATAAATTTCATTAGTCACTAAAAGTTTAATGTCTCCCATCCATTTTTTCACACTCCTGTCTCTATTTTTGGCAACTAATATTTCAAATTAGTCGCAAAAAACAACATGTTTGCAAGTAAATCACGTTAGTCAACAAAAGTGTAAACTTTTGGCTACCAATTTTTTTTTAGTTCGCAAATGTGATATATTCACAACAAAGATTTATTCGGTCAAAAAAAATGGGTGGCGAAAATATAATTTCGTGTAAAAATCAATTAAAATAGTCTGTTTCCAAACATTCTCAAAATATTTGGTATTGGTAAGTGGCTATTTTAATTGATTTTTTAATTTTTTTTTATGAAAAGACATGAAAAAAAAAAGTAAAAATAAAGATGTGATTTGATACTTTGACTTTTTAACTATTTTAACTAAAAAGCCAACGCCCCAAGGTGCCTTTCTTTTTATGTCTATATCTCTGTTTACTATCTATACACAAATATATGTTTAGTAGTAGTGGTGCACAAAATAACTGCAACAATCACATAAATGGTTGATTTTAAATGGTAGATTTTATTATTTTATTCTTCAAGTTCCGACAAATGATTTTTTTTAGACACTGAAAAAGTGATTTTTGTTGAAAATTTTTAAAAATTAAAAAGATTACATAATTTCAAAGAACAGTCAACGCCAAAGTGACTTATTCATTTTATAACTTTTCCACTCTTTGAAATATTTTATCGAACTCTTTATTTATTTATTTTTTTCTCTCTTGAACATCTTTTTGATTTTGTTAATAATGGGTGTTGTAATTTGATAGGACACAACAACAAGTGCCTGGTGGTTGCAATTTGGGAATGAGGTAGTGGGTTACTGGCCAACCTCCTTGTTTTCATACCTTGCTGACAGTGCTTCAAAAATTGAGTGGGGAGGAGAGGTGCTGAACTATGCGTCAGGTGGGCAACACACCACCACCCAAATGGGGAGTGGTCATTTCCCCAAAGAAGGGTTTGGAAAAGCTAGTTACATCAAGAACATCCAGATAGTAGATGGTTCCAACAATCTAATAGCTCCTATAGGTGTTAGCACTTTTGCTCCGCAATCCAATTGCTACAATGTTCGAATGGGCAATAATAATGTCTGGGGCAACTACATTTACTATGGTGGTCCTGGTAGAAACCCTAATTGCCCATGACCAAAGTGGAAAAAATGGAGAATGAAACTAGAATATTATAAAGAATAATTATAATGACCAAATTTGGATATCATAATTATAATGACCAAATTTGGATATCATATTTGAGAAACATATGATTTGATGTTTTACATTACATTAACTACATATCACTTGATTTGATATGCTCCACTTATGTTTATTTAAAATTGCAACTGATATAATGCCATGTAAAATGGTTAGTCAGATGATATTTAAATATAGTATTCAAATGTGATCACACTAACATTATTTTAAGGGTAAATTGCACTTTTAAATGTTGTAATTTGATCAAAATTTTATTTTGATCCCCGTTGTTTTAATTTTAATAATTCGGTCTTTACACTTTAAATACAATTTTAATTTGTCCTTCAATTCAAATTTGGCATTAAAACTAATGATTTTTTAACACGTTTCAAGCACCTGAGGTGTGTAGATAGAAAATAGGACAAATTACATTGGTGGTCTCTACATTTTGCCTTTGGTGTCAGTTTGGTCCCTCCACTTTCATTTAGCTCAATTTTAACTCTTAATTTTAGATTTTGTGTCAATTTGGTCCAATTAATAAAATCGTTAGTGTTTTTGACAAAAAATAATCACTGAATTAATTGAGATTAACTCGCTAAGTTGAGCAAACTTATTACTTTGCCCTTAAAATCATGACAGATGCAACTTATAGATGCATTTTTATTAAAAAAATGTTAACGATTTTATTCAATTAGACTAAACTGAGACAATGTCATAAATTCATAGGCAAAATCGAGTCAATTTAAATTACAAGGATCAATATGACATAAGGATCAAAATATAGGGGTTACCAATATAATTTGCTATAGAAAATTTGGATAGTAAGTTGAATGGAATGATAAAATTGAAATTAAACTTATAATGTAGGGATTAAAGTGAAATTTAAGTCAAACTATATGTCACGACCCAAATCCACCCCTATAGGTTTAGCATCGTAACCAGCCAATAATCCTAAGATTATCGAAGCCCTTTGAAACAGATTAACAAAATAAGGGGCTAGCGAAAGCAAATACATAAATATAATTATCCAATGAGCTGTGCTGACTTATATGAAACAGAAAATTCAAAACTTTATATACATATCCAAAAGTCATTCTTACGTTATACCCACACACTTAACTATAGCATCTTAAGTACAACCAACAAAAACAAAGAAAGTCTTATATATAGAAACAACCGGAGCTTATAACACGTGACATTTCAAGAACATTTACGTGAGGCACAATGATTGGCTGACAACAGAACACGAATCCAGACAAAATTCTTCAGGCCTGATCTCTAGAATGCTCACCTATATATATATATATATATATACACACACGGTGAGCTAAACCCCAGTGAATAACATTAAGGTAAAGGGGTTAGTGAATGAATTCCGAACATGTCATATTCGTAAAACAAATCATAATATAATCATTCTCATATCCAAACATCATAATGGTACATCCAATAGAACATATCACATCGTCATCCGACTAGAATAATCGGTTCCGAATACCGATTAAACACATATCACCACAATGAAGTGGCTAACGAGATCTCGTAATCACATATATGTTATGGACCCGCATTAACATGCTGTCCCCTATGACTTTGGACTATCTATAGATGCCATAATAGATTTCAAACATAGGACATTCGTTCACACAAACAATATTATTTCAAAAATCATAATTTATCATATATCATTTCGAACATAATTCATACGAACGTATCTTTACAATAATGTTACTCATAGTGGGCTCTCGTAAACGGTCAATCAATCTTCGAGCGTTGACCTACAAACACATAGCACAAAACATGTCTTATCATTATACATGTACTTGGCCATCACGGCTTAACTCTCTTCACATAGGTTTCTTGTTCTTGCTTAACGCATTGCTCAAAACACACTCTTGTAATCTCTTAACTTAGTACATTCCTTTCTTAGTGTGTTTCTAATTCATATCATCATTACTATGTCTTAATTAAGGCTTAGAAATGCCTAAGATGCAATGAGGATGCCAAAATATGAGTTGAAACACTTGGTCAAAATTTTGAAAACGGGGTTACCGTTCGAGCATAGCTTTCCTCGCTCGAGCAGAATGCAAAACGTGAGTGGTTGCTCGATGCAACTTCCTTCGCTCTAGCGGTCTGCAAAGACACGAAACTTTTGGGAGCTTGCATTTCATGCTCGAGCAAACTTCTGGTTGCTCAAGTAGAAGTGCAAGGTCACAAAGTGGTCGCTCGAGTGGAGAATCCATCACTCGAGCGAGGAAGCAGAATCTGGGATTTCCAGATTGCACTTCCAAGCTCAAAACTCGAATTCAACTCTTCAAAACTCAAATCTTGGGCCCCAAAACTTGAGATAACATTTGTAAACTTGCAAAATATGATGAATTAAGGATTATTTCATGAAATCATGGCCCAAGAGCTTGCCAATAGCTCAAAATTCATCTCGAAACTTAAGAAACAAAACATGCATGTAAAACCTTTCAATTTATTTTCTCCAAAACTCATGAAGTTAGAAAATTGAGCTTATAAGCTCCATGCATGAAAGAAATTCTTATTGAAACATGAAATCAAGGTTCAAAACATGATAATTCAAACATGCATGTACCAATTATCCATAATTTCTACATGAATAATCAAAATCAAACTTGACATGGCAAAACTCAACATGTTTATACATGTATGCAAAATCCTTCTCCCAATTCTCCTCTAAGACTATATAAACATGGAATTCACTCTCAAAACTTGGTAGAATATACATGCATGTACATCTCATGCTCCAAATTCAACACAAATGATGAAGCTCATGACCAAAATGATGATTTAACACTTATGCATGCTTGCATGTATGAATTACAACCCAATTCTTCATTCTCTTGACAACATATGTGAAATACATGCAAATGATCATAACAACACCATGAATTTACCTCTACCACACATAATCTTCATGAATTAGTAGTCAAAAGCTCACCTAGAGTCTTGAATTACTTTTGTTCTAGCTTAATTTTGATGGATTCAATCCAAGATCTTCAATTCCTTCAATCTCTTCCTTTCTCTCTCTAAAATAAGAGTTCTCTCTCTCTAAAATGCAAATCTCAGATTTTAGCACTTAAATGAAGCAAATTAAGCTCAAGAATGAGCTTAAGAGCTCATATATATAGTTTTGATGCCATAATACATTAATTAAAACATAGACTTGCCAAACGCAACTTAATTAATCAAACTGAATCAATTTTTAATTAAATTTGCCAAGTGTTCTTAAAATTCCAAATAACATATTGATATAACCAATTTCAATTTCAGATGTCGATAAGGCTTTCAATTTTCATATCAAAGCAAATTTCACAACAGATATTATTACGATTAACAAATAGAAAGTCAAACATCATACAAAATGCACAATAAACACATACTTTATTTTAATCGCTTAATTAACATCTTGAATTATGGATTAGTACTTAATTACGGATCGGGGTTGTTACACTATATGATTGAAATTTGTAATTTGTCCTTATTATAATATAAAAACAAGTGAATGTGAATCTTGTTGGAAGTTTTCACTTTCTTTAGGCTCCTAATATGAGAAGTTGGATGCTTGAGAAATGCTCAAAATTTCTTCAAACTAAAAGACACAGTCACCTTTGAAGTAATATATTGTGAATTAGAATAATTGTTAGGGAATAGCGAGGCCTACAAATGCACAATAATACTGACTCAATCTATTAGAGAGACATTTTAGAGTTTACAGACGCCACGTCAAGGTTCAACATACATTGTTTGAAACTCATACCCACTTAAAAGTTTAAACCTATAAGTAGATAACACATTTAATATATATTAAGACCCATTTCTTTTAGTCTTTATCTGATGTGAAACTCTACCTTTACACATGCTCCAACAATCTTCCCCTCATATGTAAACCAAACATCGGGCCTCACCTTGCTCTCCCTCGTGTCTGATCTATCATTAGCAAGTTTATCATAGGTCATATACACTCCTTTTTAATCTTGATCTATAACTCGGGCCACTCGCACACACTCCATCGCGAGCCATCATACTCCATTGAGAGCCACCTTGTAACGCCCCGAAATAATAACTATTATTTATCCCAAGACAATTATTAAATAACAATACATTTCTGAATGTAATATCCTCCATTCATATGATTTCATTTTACAAAAAATGCAACCCATGTAGTAATACATTCATAAGTCCTAACCCTGAATTTATAGCATGTGTCATAAGTAAAATATATGAAATAAGAGTTAAACAGATAAATGAATGCCTTAATGGCTACAACTTATTTAAGTTATTTCTATTTAATAGTTTGTAAATAAAACTTACACCAAACAATTTAGTATAAACTCTTGAAATAATTTTTTTCTTAAAAAAAAAGAAATTATAAACAACTCATGAATTTCACTAAACAACACCCTTGTTATTGTTGGTATTTTTCCATTATAATAATAGAAAAATAAATAAAATAAAATAAAATAGGAATGACAAAACAAACCAATTTTTATTTTTTTTAATTAAAGAATGAAATATAGAATAGACTATATGACAAAATGAATAGATTACATAATGGATTCAAATCAACCAAAATTTGGAGAACAAATTAGTAACATGGTTTAATAACTATTCGGACTCATCGAAATAAGATTAATGTTCAAAAACTAAAGAATAAACGACAAGGGAGGCAAACCGAGTCTTGTATTTCACATAGTTTTCTTAAAACAGATTCGCCGTCTCACCGGTAGTGCTGGAGGTCTATCGGCACCTGTTTTCCAAGATAAAACGGTTGAACGTGTGCAACAGTAACACTCACTGAAGCAGTTTCGGGGAACTTGAACATTGGTAGTACTCTCTCTCTAACAAAAACCAAATGAAAGGACTAGCAAAAGGGAGGTGAAATTTTCTAGAATTATTTTGATATAAACTCGTCTCTATCTTTTTATTTCAAAACACCATCTCCATTTTTCATCTCTAAAATTCTCCAAAAATTGGAGGGAAAGGCCTTTAATTATACTTGTAGGAAAGAACTTTAGCCATAAAGGCTATCATCATGAGAGTCATTAAATGTCATTAACAAATGCCATCAAATCTAGCCATTAGGGCTAGAGTTACAAAAGTCCAAAACTCTTATGGGCTTAATATATACAAATAAATATGTATATAATGATATTTGAATAATTCAAAAAGATGGGTAGCT